AAAAGTATTCAGGTAAATCCAAAAAATCATAAGGTGATAAAATGAAGTATTATACCAATATACATTTACGGAAATAAGTGTTACATAAGATATTTCAAGGACCAGAGTTGATTATGTTGGGTCCTAGTGAAAACAGTCATTCATATCAAAGATTTTAAATTGAGGCAATGGATTTCTTTCAGTCACTGCTAAAGAAAATATCTTGTCCAAAAACTGCCAGTGTCTTGGTTGTAATTTTGCTAACTCAGAAATGTCATAAGCAAATCATATTAACTACTCTCAATAAATGTGTTATCTAATATGATTAAACTATAAGAATTCCTGTTCCCCCAAACCAGTACTAAAGAACACTCCAATAAATTTAGATTTCTGAATATCATCTCATTCTTTTAACTGTCATTTTGAATTCTATGTTAAAAATTCAAAGAAGGTATAGATTATGATTCTCACAAATTACTTCACTTATATATTCCATTATATTTTGCTTTGATTTTTAAAATCTTGTGACCGGGGTGTCTGGGTAGCTCAGTCGGTTAAGTGTCTGTCTTCGGCTCAGGTCATGATCCTAGGGCCCTGGGATGGAGCCCTGCTTTGGGCTCCCTGCTCAGCAAGGAGACTGCTTCTCCCTCTCCCTCTGCTTGCTGCTCCCACTGCTTGTGCATGCGCACTCTCTCTCTCAAGTGAATAAATAAAATCTTTTAAAAATAAATAATTGAGGGGCACCTGGGTGGCTCAGCTGGTTAAGCGACTGCCTTCGACTCAGGTCATGATCCTGGAGTCCCGCAATTGAGTCCCACATCGGGCTCCCTGCTCAGCAGGGCGTCTGCTTCTCCCTCTGACCCTCTTCCCTCTCGTGCTCTCTATCTCTCATTCTCTCTCTCTCAAATAAATAAATAAATAAATAAATAAATAAATAAATAAATATCCTGTGATTATAACATACCATTGTAGATAATATTAGAGTCATAAAAATCGTGAATCCAGCTATCTTTCTACAATCAAGAAGGCTGATTCTGTTTAGGACAAGGAAGTGAGCTGATATCCCACATTATACATGGCCACATTTAAAAGAAAAGAAAACTGAAACAAGTATTAGCAGAATATCTTTAAATTGGAAATGCAGAGATATGGAACTTTTTGGGCTTTAAATTCAAAAGAGGATTCAGAGGTCCCCTAGGTTAGTCTTCTATACAATGCAGGACTCCTTTCTTTAATAATAGAGGCTAGGTTACAGGGTGGTGGCCTAAGGACAATCTGCAGCCCATAACTATGGTCTACATGACCTCCACAGTTTTTGTTTTGTTTTGTTTTGTTTTAATTAAGCCAATGCACAAAAATCCAGATCTGTGCCTCATCTTTAAAATCCACATGAGGCTGCATGTCTGCTGCCCTATTGGATGAGTCGTGCCTTCTCCACTTCTCCACTGCACTTCCCATCAGCCCACTTCACTCACTCATCATCTGCCTTGTGTTTTAAGCATCCAAACATTTCAGTAAAAGACCACTCTCTGTATTCACTCTTGATGAACATCATCATGAAAGGGGAGGTAGCATATAACTTTGCAAGGTGACCAACTTCACTGTAGGCAACACTAAACATTAGAGAGAATTATCTAGAATAATTTCCAAACACAAACTGGTTTTATCCTCAAAAAAAGTAACCTTATTATTCTCTCTTCCACAGAACAGGCTTCTAGGTATCTGAAGACAACCAACTTTTCCTAGGTCTTCACTTCCAGTTTAACATCTCCAGAGCCTCCAAATATTCCTCATAGCAATGTATGCAAGCCCGTCTATGGCCCCTGGGATGCTTCTCGGCATGAATGAATTCTACTTATAATAAATATTCTATTTATTATGATTTTTCAACTCTTACTTGTGTGTTTATTATATATTCTAGTTATCAGTGTTCTTCACATGTAATAATGTAATATTCCCTTGATTTAGATCAATGGTTCTCAAACTTTTTGGCCTCAGGACCCGTTTTCACATTTAAAACTCATTGAAGATCCCAATGAGCTTCTGTTTAATAGAGTTTATCTATTGACATTCACTGTATTAGCAATTAAAACTAAAATTTATAAAAGTATATTTATTAGTTCATTTAAAATACATGTTAACGTAATGGCATACTTCTATGAAAAATTTCTTTGAAAAATAAACACATTTTCCAAAACAGCATTGTCTCCCTCCTTGCATCTAAATACAGAACTTACGGGCACCTGGGTGGCTCAGTCGTTAAGCGTCTGCCTTTGTCTCAGGTCATGATCCCAGGGTCCTGGGATCGAGCCCCGCATCAGGCTCCCTGCTCCGCGGGAAGCCTGCTTCTCCCTCTCCCACTCCCCATGCTTGTGTTCCTGCTCTCACTATCTCTCTCTCTGTCAAATAAATAAAATCTTAAAAAAAAAAAAGAGAGTGAGCCTGCCTCTCCATTTAAATAAATAAATAAATAAATAAATAAATAAATAAATACAGAACTTAAATATATATTTTTCCTATAGATCCCGTTTTGTTGGTTTCACATTATTCTTTGGTAGTGGACACTGTTGATGCCCATTCTAGCTCCCCTTCAGACCAGTGCACCCATCTCCACTTAGCTGTTTTGACTGTTAGCTGATAACAACACACAGAAGAATTACTCAGTAACACTGGAGCCACCTGGCTTGGGAAATTATGTTCACCTCCACTTCATCCAATGACTGAATGACAAGCTAATAACTATCACAGAGTACAAAAGACCCATCCCAATGACACAAAGTGGAACTAATTCTGGGTATAGTTTGTGCTCCAGAGCTTCCCATGGGATCAGACCCAAGTTCGTTTCTAGAGGAGACCACGTTCTTCCTTAGCTTTTATCCCTTGTCTTATTCTGCTTGTCACTCTCTTTCTTCTAAGAGCTCATCCATAACAAATCACTTGAACAGGCAACTCCATTTCAGGCTCTGCTTCTGGCAAACCCAACCTGAGACATCTTTCATCCCACCAAGATTATTGTAATATCGACTCTGTCATATATCATATTAACTATCTCAGCTGTACAGAATCTCAAATATGCTAAGCATTCTATCACAGAGCAATGCACTGGTTCTCAAAATGTGATCCCCGGACCAGCAGCAGCAGCAGTGTTCGGAAACTTGTTAGAACTGCAAACTCTCAGGTCCTATTCCAGACCTACTGAATCAAAAATGCCATCATAGAGATATGCCATAATTAACCAATCCATTATTGTTATACACTTCAGTAGTTCCCATTTCTTCCTAGTATAAATAATGTTGAGATGAATGTACTTGCAGGTAAATCTGTGTATACTTCTAATTATTCTATGAGTATTTGTCTGCAATCTACTTTGAGGTAAAAGTATTAAATCAAAAAATAAGATGTACTGATAGATGAGTAGAAGGACAGACATATAATAAAGCAAACACAGCAAATGTTAATGGTAGAATCTAGGTGATGAGTATATGGATATTGACTTCAAAATTTTTGCAACTTTTTCATGTTTGAATTTTTTTAGAAAATGTTTAAAACGAAAAATGTTGAAGAGATTTCTATTTTATGAGGTTAATTCCTAGACTTGGAATAAATTGTTCATAATATGTGCCCATCTTTACACTGTGTAAAGTTAAAACATCAACCAAAAAGTGTCAGTTCCCTCACACTGTCAACACCACTTTTTAGTGCTTTTCAATCTCTGCCAACTTGTTAGGCATAAACTGGTAATTCATCTTTTAAATCACCATTTTCATGTGCATATTTTAAGTTAATATATAATGAATTGAAAAGCTTCCTGACATCCTTGGCCTCAGATTTGATGTTGGCTATTTGAACTATGAAGCAGTAAGCAGGATTTGAGTGCCTACCCAGGGGCACTTAGCTTATTACCAAACACAATACCCTCAAGAATAACTTGCAAACTGAATTTACATTGGCAAGAGTTACTTCTAGGCCAGTGTCATATATGAGAGGCAGCTAATGCTGGATTGCCAAATGGGACTGATTTAACAGGTCCTGAGAAAGGGCTCTTCCTTCACAAGAAAAGTGTCCTCTCCCATTTACCAGGATGCTCAGAATTCCAAGCATTAGTATTTTCTTCCTTTGTGTTGAAACAATTAGATCTCCACGAATTCTATTTTAGAATTCAAGTATTTTACTTCAGAATGGGCTCTACAAAATTATGGTGATTATATCCATAGGGTGGAATGCAATGAAGCCATTTAAAAAGAACTATGGAATTCTACATTTGCTGACATGAAAGATCTCCATGATATATGACTTGTTCATTGCAAAAAAAGAAAAATATGTATGTGTCTATATGATAGAAAATGTGTAGAAGGACATTTACTAAAATATTAAAAGTGGCTATCTCCAGTTAAAGGACATATGGGAGTTTTTTTACTCTTTATATATGTCTTTATTGTTTACTTTTGCCATGGATATATTAAAAATTTCCTTACTAACAATAACAATACAAGAAGGCTATTTGCATTTTGATAAAAATAAAATTGAAAGTATCCCAGAAAACCACTAAGCCATTATCACCTTATTAAAATTTAATTTACCAAGATTTTCAAGTCAAGGTTAAAGTCCCCTAAGGAATGAGACCCAGATCCAGCATATTTTAAAGAGCATAGGAAAAAACAGTTAAAGGCAGACAGACTAGGCAGAGGTCTCCAGCCATGTATTAATCAGCTGAGGGACAGGTCTGTGTTGTCCTGGGAGGATTTCACTGGAGAAAAATCAACAGGCAATAGAAGGCATCGGTGGTCTTCAGATCCACAGTCTATATTGACTCAGAGTGGATCTTAGCTTTACCACAATTCCTGCTTTCAATATTATAGAAGAAAATACCCCCTAACCAATGATGTTCAATTCTCCCCCTAGAGCAGGCCCAGGATCCAATGCCAGTCATTTTTTTCAAATATATATTTAACAGATTTAAATTGCTTCATTTATACTTCACAAAGACTGAAAAGGAGAATATGATAGAGTAAACCACTTACCTCCATGGGAAGACATGTCTGTACAGGGGCAGATGTTCCCGGATGTGACACCACTGTCCCAGGTTTAATTTGAAAATGTGTTTTGCACATGTAGCCTTCAGAACAATCCTGTGTTCCACATAAAGAATACATAAGAAAATGCCAATTATTTTTAGAATTCATCATATTAAGAACTACGGTTTCTCATAAATTTCAATCTGAGTAATAAAAAACTAAGTATATTAAATGATATGAGATATAATATGGATAGAGAAACTCATCCGATAAACCCTGCACATAGTAGGTACTCACTGAATAGCAGTTTTAATCCCCTACCTTTCTTACTTATTAATGATGTCTCCCCTTCTCTTAGGCATCCCCCTTCCTTTTTCTTCCAAGCAGTTCATAGCACGTAAGTCATGGAGCAAAACCTCAGGTTTGCAGCTGTTAAGAAGCATTTAAACTGGGATGCCTGGGTGGCTCAGTCATTAAGCGTCTGCCTTCGGCTCAGGTCATGATCCCAGGGTCCTGGGATCGAGCCCCGCATCGGACTCCCTGCTCAGCGGGGGGCCTGCTTCTCCCTCTCCCTCTGCTCCTCCCCCTGCTCATATTCTCTCTCTCTCTCTGTATCTCTGTGTCTTGAATGAATAAATAAAAAAAACTTTAAAAAAAAAGAAGCATTTAAACTTATAGAAATACTTTGTCACATATTAATATTGATTTCATGGCCTATATAGAAAGAGAGATTTAAAGAGGACTTGCAACAGATCCTGAAGCTAAAAGGGACCTTCCATTTTAACTTCTTGTTCAAGGCAAGATCTCCATTACAACATCACATGGGGGTAACTGTGCAACACCTGCCTAAGCACTTCCAGGAACCTTTGCTTTACTCCTTTATATGACCACCACCTCCATTTTGGTACATGGTACATAGTTCAATGAGAAAATATTATCTTATATTGCACTGAAATGTTTCTCTTTAACGTTAACTCACTGGTTTTAGTTCTGCCCTCCAGAGTCTAAACTCTTCCACAAAACCATTCTTCATAAATTTGAAGACAATTAGCACCATTTGCACACGTTCCATAGAAGACATGATTTCCAAGTCTTTCACCAGTTGTATTTCTCACCTCTTTCCTATACTTGCTCTTAAACACACTTAAGTTTATCTAATTGTGGTCAGTTCCATTTTTTTAAAAAGCAAAACTTGGTTGAATTCAATAAAGTCATGTATAAAAATATAATACTTCCTCATACACACTCACATATTAATGAATATTATTAATTCTCCACAAAATTGTCACACTCAAATTTTAACAGAATTTAAATAGTTACAACTAAGGAAATGTGATTATTTAATCTGATGCAGTAACAAAAGTACAGGATAGTATTCCAACTAAAACCATTCATAATTCACTTAATTTTACTAAGATTCAAAAATTCAGTTTTTAACTACACAATAAGAAAAGAAAAATTTTATAGTGTTTGTGAGTGATTTAATATTGAATTTATTTTTTTTAATTCGTGTCATGCCAGGGCACCTGGGTGGCACAGTCAGTTAAGCCTCTGACTCCTAGTTTCGGCTCAGGTCATGATCTTGGGGGTGGTGAGACCAAGCACCATGTCAGGCTCTGTGCTCAGCGTGGAATCTGCTTAAGACTCTCTCTCCCTCTCCCTCAGCCCCTCCTTCCTGCTCACTCTTTCTCTAAAATTAATAAATAAATCTTTTAAAAAATTGTGTCATGCCAACTATGTAAGAGCATCAGATTTTAGGTAACTGTACTGGGTTGAATAATGTCCCTTCACAATTCATGTCCCCTGGAACCTGTGAATGTACCTTATTTGGGAAACAGGGTCTATGCAAATGTAATAAAGTGAAGATGAGGTCATACTGGAATAGGGTAGACCGTGAATCCAATATAAGTAATTTCCTTTTAATAGGAAAATTTGGCTACAGAGACACAAACACACAAGGGAGAAGGCCAGGGGAAGACAGAGGCACAGACTGAAGTGGTGCATCTATAAAACAAAGAATGCCAACAATGGCCACCAACCACCAGAAGCTAGAAGAGACAAAGAAAAGTTGTTCTTCTCTAGAGCCTTTAGAGGGAGCATGGCCCTACAGACACCTTGATTTTCAACTCCCAACCTCCAGAACTGGAAGAGAATAAATTTGTTTTAAGTCATTCAGTTCATGGTACTTTCTTATGGTAGCTCTAGGAAACTACTACAGGAACTATATTTTCTAAGAACTCTGGTGGCACCTTTACAATGCCTCCCAGTTAACTGGGCTGACATCCCACCAGCACTCACCAAAGAACCCTGCTGGTTGGTCCTGATCAGTACCAGTTCTATTGGCTGGACCCAACTTATTTTGATTGGTTGATGCCCCTGCCACAGATTGTTAAATATTTAAATACTCTTCCTCCCTGTAACGTAAGCTATCAGGTAACCAATACTATCACCTTTAAAAATATCTTATTTTATTTATTTATTTGAGAGAGAGAGTGCAAGAGCTTGAGCAGGAAGAGGGGCAGAGGGGGAGGGAGAGAATCTCAAGCAGACTCTGTGCCAGAGTGGAACCCATGGGAGTTTCAATCTCACAACATCCAGAACATGACCCAAGCAGAAACCAAGAGTCCCACGCTCAAATGACTGAGCCACCCAGGCACCCCAATACGATATGTTTTATAGATGAAATTATTGTTTTAAATTCTAGCTCTGCATCATCCAAATGCAAAGAATACCTGAGGGCCTTCAACCACTGAAGTCTTTGTGTATAGACAACATAAATAACTTTTAATATTGGCTTAAACTGAGAAAGATATATATAGGGATTGTAGTTGTTGCTGTTGCTTTTTATATCAGGTATCTATTTCCCCTTCTTCTGAAACAGTAGCCAATTTTCTCTAAGGAATCATTCCCTTCCCCCTATCAGTGTGGACATGGCCTCCTACTACAGGAATGATCACAAGACTCTGAACTGGCCCATAAGAGCATCAGTCCTGTTGGCCTGAGAGACTCAGAAGGGTAAAAAATCTACTCAGGGCCAATGAAACACAGTTCAGGACTTGGATTAGGGGATGGGGGAGGATATTCTCTTTTCTACTGGATTTGAACCAGGAAGATAAAGCCTTGGCAGTTTGGGCAGCCATCATGTAATCAAATGGAGCCTGAGAATGAAGCCAGTGCAGAGGAAAGCAAAGCCATGAGATGCAGAAAGACCAGATCTTGATGACACTGTTCACACCAACCATACCTAAAGCTAATTCCACCCTCAAATACACTTACATGGCCCCAAAAAGTCCTTTCTTGACTTCACCCAATTTGGATTGGGTTTTCTGTCACTTGCAACTAAAATAATCTTTCTATAAAATGATCTATGTTATTAGTTTAAAACTAGATGAGATTTTCCTACTGTTGAGAATGAGCCTCCTATGATCACAGAAAGAGTCTCTTAAAACAATAAAATAGTTTGACTCGAACGAATAAACAAACTACATGATTTCTACTGTATTATATGATTACCCTCATTATAATAGATCATCAATAGCTGATTATATAGATTTGCCAAATATAGTAAAGCCATAAAGGTAGGTGATTGTGAGACAAAAAGTAAAAACAGTCTGCAATTTAAAAATAATCTAGCTATAGAGGAAAAAAAAACCTCAAGATATTCAGAGAAGAGTTAGAACTAAACTGTGTACTGAATCTGATTCATCAAACGAGAGTAACTATTCTATTTCATGAGCGCTAATCATACAACCTCTTCTTAAGGCAAACTATAGTTTAGTAAAACCCTAATTACAAGGCAAAATACACTTCCTTTGACATCAAGAGGTTAAGTCCAAAATTCCTATGCACCTATGTTATAAAATCTAAATGTATTATCTGATCTCTTTTCCAATGAATTAAGATAGAGAAATATGTCATTTTTAATATTACTTACTATTTAAGGGAATTTATTTCTATTTTAGGTAATTTCTGATGCTACTTATTAGTGTCTATAGGGAAATGCACAAGGGTTTTTGACTCAGCCTCTATCTGGTCATGGCAATTTTCTTTTTGGTATCAATCTCTCAACAGTCAAGATTAGCCTTGAAAAATTAAAAATAGAAAAAAAACAGTTTATAGCATTTTAGCTTCCTTTCAAACATTTACTTCCATGAAAGTAGGCCTTTCTCCTACACTGTTTTAATTTAAGGCAGAAAAATATGTTTTGTTCTTCACTGTTTTGAAGGTTGTTTTTGTAGAAACAAGCAAACAAAAGCATGAGAACTGCCCCCTGAACTAGCACTACAGTCCATCTGGCCCAATAAATGATAATTGACTCAAATCTCGACTGACTTTTCTGGTAGACACTCAACTCTAGCTTCCCTGCATTCTTTCTGTACTTATGATAGCTTACAATTCAACGTTAAGTTTTCTTTCATTTTGGAGGGTGCCTGGGTGGCTCAGTCGGTTAAGTGTCTGCCTTCAGCTTAGGTCATGATCCCAGGGTCCTGGGATTGAGCCCCATGTCAGGCTGCCTACTCAGTGGGGAGTCTGCTTTTCTCTCTCCCTCTGTCCCTCCCCCCACTTGTGCTCTCTCTCTCTCTCTCAAATAAATAAAATCTTTAAAAAAAAAGTTTTAATTTTTTAACATGTGTTAGTTTTATTTCCCCCAATCAATCCAAAGTTAGGGCCTAGGCCCCCAGCTCTGGGGAAGAAAGGGTCCTAACTACAGAGTCTAGTTCCACATAAAAACCTGTTCCATGGTCCCTGAAAACACCCTGGACCAGAACAAACAGGAGAGGTAGGAACAAAGAGAACCTTGCAATTTATCCAGTTCAACCCTCTCGTTTTAGAGATAAGAGGGTGAAGGACTGAAGTACTTTTAAGAGACTTGTCTTACAGCTAAATGGGGGAAGTGCTGGAGGTAGAAAGCAGACCTCTTGACCCAATGCTCTTTCTACCACACTAAGCAATTCTGCCAGAGTCCGGATCATGGCAGAAACATGTTTACTGACTCTCACAGAGTGGTGTAAGTCCACGCTTTGCACACTGAGTAAAACAAACCGAAGCCATTCAAGTATAGGTCTGGGGACCAGTAGCCTCCTTGTCACCTGGGAGCTTGTTAGACAGGCAGA